TAGTGGACATGGTGGTGTTGGGTCGACGGTTGGACTCGATGATCTTAGAGGTCTTTTCCAACCTTAACGATTCTATGATTCTATGACCCCCAGGCCAGGATGCCATTTCCCAAGGGGTCCCCAGGACACCCCTGTGCCACCCAGGTACAGCTGATGGGCTTCGGGGAGGGGCGCATCCGATGCCGGTGAAGGACGTGCACAGGGAAGAGGGAGCAGCTGCTCTGCTTTGGGTCAGCCTCCGCATTTCAGGAAGCACCCGCTGGGAGCCGATCCTCCCATCCGCAATGCCCGAGCCCCACGCCGGAGAGAGGGTAAGGGGAAGAGGCTCCTCCTCACCATGCGATGGGCACTGCCGCCTCCTGCTCGGCGCCCATGGGGATGCGGCTCTGCAGGTAGTGGAGTTGGCCAAAGTACTTCCGCAGCGTGCTGCAGCCCTCGAAGTCCCTGGGCACATTGACGGCGCTCTGGAGGGGCGAGAGGAGGAGGAAGAGGCCGCCCCGGGGACAGGACCGCGCTCACGGGTAATGCGTCAGGCAGGAAGGGGAGCCTGCCTGATCCGTGGAGAGACCTGCAGGCAGGAGGGGACGGCCAGAGCCAGGCATCGGCCGGCTCCCCCGGGACAAAGCCGCCCTGCGGGAAGGAGCAAGGCCTTACGGAAGACACCTGCGTAATGCAGCTAGAAAAACAGGTCTGTTCGCCTAAAAATGAGGCTGGAGGAAGCCGCTTTATGGATCCAGAGCAACCGGTCCGGGGAGGAAGAGTCTCTGCTCTCCCCGGCACAGGCTCCTAAGGGTGAAATAAACGGGAGGAATTTGGGAGCGACTGACAAGGGGGTGTCCTGGACAGGGCACGGGACCCACTGCTACAGCAAAGCTGTGTCGGGAGAGGGAAGGGAAGAGCAGGAGACCCCGGAAAGGTTTCCCAACTTCCCACTTCAGGGTTAAGCCCAGAGGCAGAGGCCAGAGCTCCCCAGATCCCGGGCTGGGGGTGTTTAAGCACCCACCCACCTCCATGCCTGCTGGAAGACCACCACTGCGCTTTGGAGATGCTGGTCAGATGACCCCGGTGCCAGCACCACGAGTTACCCCAGCTCCACCCTGCGTATCAGGCTTACAGCCTCACTACAAAACCTATGGCACGGCACAAACCGGCACCGGTCCTGGCTCGGGGACAGTCTCTGTTGCCTCCAGCCGGTTTTACCACCCGTGTCTCAGCTACCAGCTGCCCGGGGCCAAGGCTGTCTCTAACCCGCTCAGTGGCCCCTAAATTGATGACCCCAGTGACTAACACAAGCATTTGGGCTCCGGAGCTGAGAGCAAAGGGCTGATTTATTATTCCCTGCAAAGACCTCAGGCACCAGCCCGACCGGATAAAGCGATTCCTTCCGCCCAACAGGGAACTTGTATTCAACACAAAACCCCCCAAATTCAGGGAAGCGGATACAGCAGAGCCCTAACGCCCAACCCCTGCACGCTCCTTGGGAAGCCTGAATCGTCTGGGGAGCCCAGGACGCAGCCCAGCTGCCAAAAGCCTCGTCCGTGAGCCACTGGTGAGGAAAAGGAGCAGTCACGGCAGAGCTCCGGCACAGCTCCTGGTCCAGGGAGGTGGCGGGAGCCGGCAGACGTCTCCTCGAGCGCAGAGCAGGTGACAAACCAGCTCCCCTGGTTCGGCTCTGGCAGGTCTCACCGGGGCTACGAGCCATTTGGGTTGGAGCCCGGCTTACCTGCCGGAGCAGCTCCAGCTTCCGCAGCTCCTCGTTGTAGTTCTCCGGGTTCTCCCCATAGTTCTTCAGGACAAACTGGAGGGGGAAGAGAGGGATGAGAGCCTGGCCCTGTCCGACACCCAGAGCCACCTCCCCAGCCCCGCACCGAAGCTACAGCCGGCGGCTCTCCAAGGAGAGGCCCGGGAGAAGCCCCTGCGGCGGGTCTGGCAGCGTGAAGGGGCACGCGCTGGCTCAGGGCCTTGCATCTCCTGGTTCGGAGCTTGTTTTCCCCCCAGATCTTGCCCGGCTCCTGCTGAACCTCAGCTTAACACAAAGCCAGAGTGCAGGGTCCTGCGGAGACAACGTCAGGAGGCAAAGCCCTGGGGAGAGGCACCGATCCACCACACGGCAGGAGCCGACGGGGACCTCGGAGCGGGGGCAGAAAAGCCGGAATCAAGTGTCCGTGAGGTCCTGAGGAGTCACCAGCGAAGGGGACAGACCGAAATGAAGTCACTCCGGATTCCTGCCCGATACCCCTCTGTGCTTGGATGGAAGCAAAGCCTCTTGCCGACCGTCAGAGGGTGAATGTCGCGCTGGCAGCTGGCCAGGAAAGCGGCTCCCCGTGGCGAGGGCCGAAAGGGAAACGAAACGGGGTAGCGCGTGCCTACGCGGAACAGCACGGCGCCGCGGCCCCCGCCGGAGGCTCCTCAGTCGCCGCGGAGCGGAGCTGGAGCCAGGCTTGGCCGAAAACGCTCATTAAGAAATAAAAACGCTCTGGCATTCCCGAGAAAGGCGCTCGGTGACGAGTTACGTCTCCCCACCACCGCAGAGGGAGCCGTGGGGATAGAGCTCCCCAAACCTGCCTCTAGCGAGGGTTTCGAGATCCCTCGGATCACGATGCATAGCGCTTCCCGACCACAGGCAGCTCGGGATCCTCCAAAGGTCCGGGCAGGAACTCATCCAACCTTCCCGGCAGCGGGACCCGCGGCCCGACTCTGCCCCGGCTCAGGCGGGCAGCAGGGGTTTGATCCACCCCAGCAGCTGCCAGGTTAAGGGAGGTTGGGGACACGCAAAGGGCTGCCCACACCCTCTGTCACTTAAGCTCAAGGTTAACGCAGCTCAGCACTGGAGAAATGAGGGAAGTTTTCTCTCCTCCCTCTCTGTTTTGACCAGGGTGCCAGGTTTCTATTCGCTGTCGCGTCTCACGAGCCAGCAAAACACAGCGTGTTTCCATCAAACGTCCGCAGGGAAGCCTCGTTCACAAAACAGATTTCCACCTGCTGCCGTACACAAAAATTCCCTAAACGACCCACTTTTGATAAGTCACCGTCCCTCGGGCCCAGCTCGGACCTGGAGGCCACCGTCCCCTCTGCCGCAGCTCCCCATGGGGTGCTGCCCCGGGGCCCACGGCACCCCC